AAAAAGAATAAAGTAAGTCAAATTCCACGACCAGCATGCAGAAACATAATAATTTTAGATTTTACTTTTCATTTAGATTATGTTTACTTCAACAAGCCATGTAATTATCCGTTCCATCAGAATATTTCGGAACTGGTTCTGAGCTGTACTCACTTCCGATATGCGCAGAAAAATAATTCGGAACTAGTACGTAACTACTTTTGGAATAAATTTGTGATCAGAAAAGTCCTAAGCGAACTCTCTATTCGTCATTGTCCATCAAAGCGGTCCATGGGACCTTCGCTTTTTGTTAAAGTATCGTGGGTCAGTAGGTCTGTCAGGTCTGGTTGCCCAGATACCAGACGATGTCAGGGAGAAAGAAAGGAAGAAGAAAGACAGGAAGGAAGGAGGAAGAGGAAGAGCAAATAGAGTGAAGTGCGCCTTGATATTGTTAACTGGTGTTCGGCAAAAATCGTTGGTTTGGTTGGGCCTAGAATTGCACGATATGATTTTGATCACAGTTTTGTGTGCTTGCGAACTTTGCTCGACTCTGTGGTCTACTGACTCATGCAACAGAGAGTTGATGTGCGATTCCGCTTGACTATAACGCCTGTTGTTTGATGTGGTCCCTTAGGTAAGGGATGGTGGATGGTGGATGTGGTGCGTTAGTGATGGTTCGCAAGGTTCTGTCTTGCAAAGCCTGCAGATTAAGCATATGCGTTTTGGTGAGAAAACAATATGCTGCACATGCGTACCTAAGGGAACTATAGTGATGTCATTAAAAGTGTCTGACCTTAGATCAACTACCAATAAAATGCATGCATATAAAGTATTGCAAAGTCCTTACGCCTTAATAATATTCAATAAGGAAGGATTTTAAGATTTCCATCATAAAATATTAATTTCCTGTCCTTGAAGCTGACGTCTACCGTACCTCTGTCAATTCCTTCGAGAAGCGTTTATAAACAGATTTCTTGTTAAATTTACCACTTCGACCGTGAAGGTTAAGCACAAAATGACTATTGTCGCAGACGCAACCGTAATTAACAAAAAGCGAGAACAATACAAAAAATCCATACCTCCGCTTGAGAAATATCAGATGATGATGATGATGATGACAAGGTACAAGGTGTGACATCGAACATTCACCTCAGTGCAGTGATTTGAATTTTTTTCAGAACTATTGTGTTGTTTCTTCTTACATTTCAAAATTTAATTTCAATGTTTGGGCTTTTATCGTTCACGGGTGTGGCACTCATTTTTTGCCAGAACTATTTGCTAGAAACCTAATATCTCGGGTTGCTAGGTTTTTGATTTCTTAGAATATTCGAGAACATTCAGTTGAGATGCATCGATTGCTAGTTGGAAATTGTAAATCTGATCGTTATTTCCGGAGACACTGAGAACGCATTATTAGTAAGCGAAGTTACTACAAATATATATTATTTTAAACAGAGATACATCAACTTTTTTGATATTTGATCATGTACTCAATCACAGAACCTAGTATATTGAACTCCTTGAAGAAGCCAAAAATTTCTAGATATTTGTAGTGCATATGCCTACCTTGACTGCGTTTCTGAGCAGCAAAGCTGTAACTAAGAAGACTTACTTTTTGATTATGCATTATTCATCGGCTCTACTTACCGTGTGATTGTAGAGTATATTCATTCAATGTTAGTCATAACTTGGTTTACTATGTATATGCTTTTCATTTGCACTCTCTGGCAGTAGCTACTAAATAACTACTAAATAGCCCACAAACAAACAGGATAAAGACATTTTTTTGTTAATACGAAAGAGAAGAAAAAACTAATACTATACAAAATTTGTATTAAGGAAAGTTCCTCATACAAAGCAGCAATGCAGGATAAATTGAAAGAAATGCAAATCAATTTTGCCGGAACTGTCGCTTTTATACTTCGGTTTTTCGAATTATTTCTCTTAGTTGGACAGTAGTTAGTATCAGTTACCTATTATATAATTACTGCTATCCCCAGTTATACATGCAGCCACATGACTATGGTCAAATACCAGAATTGATGACAGTAGCAGAAGTCACCGTGCTTTGACGTGGTACCTTTTGATTACAGCCAACATTTCTATATACATACTCTTCGCTTTGCGGTTTTGTGTCTTAGGCTTTTGTTTATTTTCATTCAAATTATCCCATATTTTCTAGGCTATTTTGTATTTGATCACTTCTGATGATTGCATTTTATGTATTATCTGTGGCTTTCTTCATTGTTAGCTTTTATTTAGGGTTAAGTAGAGTAGCTTAGGCTAGACTTCGCCCTGTTGCAGATTTCTGCATTGTATATAACAATACTCAATAAAGACATAATAATAATAATAATAATTTCACAAAGAGGCGCCGCATTTTCAAAGGCCTCCGCGTAATAGCAGTGTCGTACGATGAGTTTCGCTACAGTCGTCAATTTTGGTAATTTACTATAGTTTCTGCCTACACAACGTTACTGCTTCTGGGATCCACCAGAATTATCTTGAACTGACTTTCCCACATTACTTTATTCCACTTTATTTCTCTTCTTTTGGTGCTCAACCGCTTCAGCTTCTTCATTACTCTACTCGAATACTAAAACGGAAGAGAGGACGATAAGCACATTGTGCACGTGGATCCTTCAGAATTCAAAGTCACGCCGCGCTAACAGTAGCATACGATCTGCTTTGCTACTTTCTTCCGTTTTGGTACTATAACTAGGTATTTTTATGTGTATTAGCTAGAGTTCTATTGGTCACTCTCAGAATTTTTAGGATGTTAGACTTTCTATGTTTACGTATTTTCAATCAAAGACTTGTCCGCACGGCTCTAAACATAACAATTCTTAATTTCTGCACTTGGGGCAACCAGATGCTGCTAAAAGAAACAATACAATAAATTTGATCTGCATTGGCCCAAACAGAAAACATGCGACAATATTTTCTTAATATCTACTGTAATGGACCAAATCATGTCGAATTATGTCTTGGAATTCAAGCGTATGGTTTTCCTGCAGATTAGAATCCCATGCGTTAGTGCCCCTGAAGGTTTCCTTTACTAGAAAATTAAACAGCAGCATCCGCAGCATCATGTGTCAGATATTCGTACGGTCTACAACATGTTAGAAGAGTTGTAAAAGTAAATATTCATTACACGAGTACTCGTTACTTGTAGATACTCAGGGCAACAAGTAACAAACTGGTCCTCAAATGATTACTTTATGACTACTTCGATTACTCAGTTTTCCGTATAGTCGGATGTATGGCGACGCGGGCTTCTACCACCTATTACACCTTTACCATGGCAGATTATTAAACTTGCAGTTTTTGGTGTATGATTTGACACTACTTTTAACGGCAAAATTGGAGAACTTCTGTATCATCCGTTGTGTTGCATGATATTTGAACATCTGGATATGGATCATAACAAAGAGAAGACAAACTTCTATTTCATGTGATAGTAACTGTAATTGTTGATGTTTTCATGTACACTGTGGGTTAAACTGATTACTATTTTTAGCTTCACTTTTTTATGTTAGTATTATTCAAAGAGATTTTAAATAAGGTTTCGCCCTTTACTCCGATTCGAATAAATAGTGTTTGCGATCCTGATGTACTGACAGAGAAAATCTAATGGGAGCTTTTGCTAACTATTGAAAAATATGAAATCATATACTGCCATATTATTGCAAGTGGTCCGATATGGTTATTCGAATTTTTTGAATGCATATGACCTTAAAATCCATTCCTAGAGACTAATCTCTGATGTTGACTCAATGATTACAGCTTGACTGACTTATTTTGAATTGATCCTAGAACTGACCGTCAGATGATCTTTAGATGATGATTCGGACTTACAAACCAACAAAACCTAAATGACATGCGGTTGGGCTTAACTGTTGAGCTTCTTCGAAAATTGTCATTGATATCAGAAAAGTGTTACTACACCGTCGACGAATACCTTACTGCTTAATTTTATTTATTTATTCTTTTTATTTATTTATTAAGCTTAACGGAAAAGAAACAGTCTATTTATTGCTCCTCTTCTAGACATTTTCAGTGCTCAATTGTTCTTATTTATTTAAAATTGATTTTTTTTTTCATGTTCGTTAGATGTCATTAAGAATTTGTTTGTGTTTGTAATGACTCCTATTTTATTTATTTATTTGTTTATTATTTATTATCTCAATTACTGTTTTAATTAACTACCTGTTCTTTTTTGCATATCGCATACTTATGTATTGTATTTGTAATGTTGACAAGTCTTATGTCATAGCTATTTATGACCAAAAGACAATAAAGACTATCTATCTATCTATGAGCTTGAATTTACCTTCCAGTGAACTTGAGTCATAGAGAAAAACTAACCTGGAAATCAGCGATCAAAAAAAATCCTGTTGCAGTGAAAATCGAGTAAATTCCGTTGACATTGAGTTTTCTGCCAGCTGTTTGGTATTCTATAACACTTCGCGATGTAAATAATCTAGCACAGAATGACATTATAGCTGCCAGACCCTTTTACGAATCTATTCGTTTTCTAAATATCCGTGATACTCAATCAAAATAAAGGCGATAATAAATGATTTCTTAGTAGTAGAGTATAAAATAATATCGAATATCCGCCACGTAATGTATTGCGATGGGAACATTCGCTTGTAACATGTGCTGCGCACTTTTTTCCCACAAAAAGTACCAGATATCGTAATAAATATACTGGGAGCATATTGCGCAACATTTGTCAGACGTTCTAACAGATCTCAACATGTTGAAGCAAATATACCCAGCTACATGCGTTTCTCTTTAAACAATCTGCAGCAACATGTTGCACACACAGCCTCATACATTACACCCTGTAATGCTGGTCAGTGGAGATGGGTGGTCAACGGCAGCTACTTGTCGAATCAGAAGAAATGCCTTTTACGATCATCATAAAACTAAAATAGGCTCAACTATACAAAAATGCTAACCATAAATAATCAGAGAATCAAGGCCGCAGAATAAAAGGAAAAGTTCATACTTACTACAAACATCCTACGACGTAAACAAGTTTTTTTGCATTGCAGATCGTGGACCGTTAACGCGAAGATCACTTGTTTCTATATTTTGATTGAGCTTGGTAAAATGATAATCACTATACCACATTCTAGGGGACGTGTTATTAATGTAGTCAGATGATGTGATGTACTGCCTCATTTCTCCAGAATACACATATTCACAGAGTGGTTCCCGAGTATGATTTTGTCACAAGAGATGAAGATTACCCCATCCTACCCTCAAGTTCTTCTTGAAATATTTTAAAGAGTGATTGAGGTTATTGGAATGTATAAAAACTAAAAAATGATTTCAAAACAATACTTTTAGTTACTTCCTGAATGATCTGACAAAATTAATGGCGATTAACTTGCGATAAAAAGCAATTCAATCCCTCGATTAAAATTGTAGATCCAGAAAAAATGCTGAAGCCAATACAGAAACTAATGTTCATAACATCATAATTCATTAACCTACATGATAGTTTGAATACGGCGATAGAGTCACACTTTCATTGATTATTATTTTCCATGAATGACAATATTAATACTTAAAATAGAAATGTTGAAGCAATACTTACTGGCCATAGTTAAAAAAAAAACTCTCAATATTAAAATTGCATTTACCAAATGATGACGAGCACGTAGGGATGGCCTTAAATAGTGATTTTTTTGTAAAATATAAAGTACACCTAACGAATCGGTAAGACTTGCATCTTTTATAAAAATCCGTGTAAGCCTCATGTTAAACGGGAAAATATACATATTTGAATCACATTGTACCACTCTCAATCACAGCATTCACACCATAAACGGAATCACCGAAAACGTTTTGAAAACTACCAAGTAATAGTTTGGTGACCTACGTATTTACAATAAAAGTGTTTTCGTTCATTTTACGGCATAATTGTTTATGTTTCTGTCCGTTATGTTTATAACACTCGCATTGCTTCAGTAAATAAAAACGGCATGGTTAATACCCTTTGCAAAATATTTCGCTTATCTCGTTTTTGCACGCACTCTCAAGCCTCCTTCATATCGATGAGCAACCAATGACGTACACTTTTTCACTGATATACAGAATGTGTCCTCACAAATGCCTGTCAGATGACCCCGCCAAGCGTCTTCTCATTCCATTTCTATGCATCTTGTGTTCCTAGAATATCGAGAACATGGGAAAGTCTACTATCAGAGACGCTACCGAATTTGAGTCATCAGGTGTAGTTCAAAATTCCTACCAGCAAAGTTTAAGCTAGATTCTGCTATTTTCTTACGGAGACTACAGCCAACTGAATAAAAAACCAGGCAAAAGTTATAAGTTGGAAAGATACGAAAGGATTAGGGTCTATAAGCGGGATAAGTCAAACAAGTTGATTGATCTATGAAATTTTTGCGTTTAAATATTTTAGAATGTAAGTATTTCAAACTGTCCTGATCTTATTTTATTTTATTATTTGATCGTTTTTTAAAAGCCCAAAAGTTCACTGAGATAAAAAAGCATAAAAAGTGTTGCGTCACTGCGCTCACATTAAAAAGAAAAGTTGCAGCCTCATTGTAATTGTGTATTAGTGTCAACTTCAATCTTATTGTGAGCGCAAAGGATCAATACCTTTATTTTTCTATATATTTTGGGTCTTAATGTGTTTTAATTTAGATTTGAAGAGAAAGTGCGCTCATTTAAAAAATGGTAACTGAAATATTCGGAAAAAGGTATATTTTTCTACAAATGCCTAAATTGCGAAATTTAGGCTTTTAAAGAATAATCAACTGATGAAACAGAAAAAAAATTCTGATAAAAGCTGAAGATACATATGTATTGAAAAACATTCAAGCAAACATTTCACAGATGCTAGCAATTTACAACTTGATTTGTCTTCAGGGCCGGGAAACCTTATGGTCCCTAATCCTTTGTTATTAGTATTTTACTTGAATTTTTCATATGGTAACTGGCAACCTGGCAAAACTAATTTTTAAAAATTTTTTAAAAATGAAGAAAACATCTTCGAATGTTTCGATAACCCAGTTTTTTAGTCACAGATATGTCTCAGCCAAGATATTTATCTCGTTCCAGGATCATCTTTACCCTAAATTTTACCTTTCGTGATTAGCTGAAGCAGCTCATATTTCTATTTTAGGACTTTTAATTGTGGATAACAGTTCTCGGTCTTTTCCCATTTTGCGTAAGAATATGATTGTTTCGTTCGAAACGAGATCTTTCCGTTGACTTCTGAAGAACCACGTCTCAAAAGCCTCTAGCTTCCTCCTGAGAGCAATATTTAATGCCCAAACTGGTACGCAATGAAACAGAACAGAATGATATCAGACAACATGTATGTAGGCTGAATTTGGTAGCACAGAAGTTGTTGGATCATTATCGCTTACTCTATTCCTGATCGTATTATGGATTCAAAATTAATGCCTCACGTAATCCAGGTTCCTAAATACTTTATTTTGTTCACCTGGTCAATAACTTCATTCCTGACTTTCACCCGTATTACGTTCATTAAAAAGTAACACTATATCGATTTCTAATGAATTATGTAGGTCTTTCCGAGAAAATGACACCTTGGAACTAGCTGACATTGACTTCAGGGCTACTTGTACCAGCTGTGCGTGTTGCCTAAACATCATGACACTTGAGTTATATGGTTTGGCTCTGTGATGTAACATCTTCTCCAGCGATGACACTAGTGGAGGCGTCTTATAGCTTCAATTGCTTGAGCTGTATATTCTAAAGTATACAGGTCGTCGTACCATCCATCGGTCGCAGTGACTAGCGACTAGCTATTACACCAGTTGACAATAAACCGATTTTTAACGTCATTATATCGATTTTTTAATAATATAATACCCCTGCTTGATTCTTGTCGTGACTCTGCCTGTATTACTGATCAAAAATATATTTTTGTATCCTGTATGCTGACATTCAAACCAAACTGCTCTTCGGTGTCACATACAGGGTGTAAACGTTAAGGTAGTCATTATTGAAATGGGTAATAGGGGGGGTCAAAACAAGTCGAAAAGTTCACATGACCCATGGTCCAAAAATCAATAGATTTTTGTCTAAATGGCTTTGTAGTTTGCAACTTAAGTGCTTTATATCGACCACAATCACCACAATCTTACTAATTTTTATAATCTAATATCGAATCTAAAACGTCTTTAAATTTGTTAATTAACAAATAAAAGGCATTAAGTTTTTATAAGTTAAGCCAAAATTTGCGTAAGTTTCACTAAATTAAATATTTAAAACACACATGACAACAGCGCGTCGGTCATCATCACCCTTACCGAACTGGCAATCGATCGCAAATGGTAACAGTGGTTAGTATGTTGTTACGTTTTTGTTCGCGTATGTCGTCGTGTTGATTTACAATGTTCTCGAATCAAGAGTTCGCCGACATGTTGTTAGCTTACGGTGAAGCTCGTCAGAATTCAAATCTTGCAGCTCAAATGTATCGCCAACGGGTTACTCAGACAGAAGGGCATTTGTGCGAGTGTACCAAAGACTTCGAGATACAAGAAGTGTTCAGCCCACTAATATTCGCACTCGTGAAAGACAGGTTACTGTAGAGCAGGAGGAACGAATTTAAAATATCGTGGAAATCAATGCAGATATCAGCACTCGGGAATTAGGCCGCCGCGTAGGACTATCGCATACCATAGTCCATAGAATCCTACAGCAAAATTTGCTTTATTCCTAACATGTACAACTAGTGCAGGCCTTGTTACCGGAATGCTATCCTCGCAGACTAACATTCTGTCAGTGGTTTTTGCACTAAAACATTCTAGCGACGGACGAATGTACTTTTACGCGAGACGGGATGTTAAATTTTCATAATACTCACACGAAGGCCCAAGAAAATCCTCATACCATTCGTGAAGGTCATTTCCAACAACGCTTTAAAATAAATATTTTGGCGGGAATTCTTGAGGATCAGGTAACTGGCCCTTTCGAGTTACCCCCAAAGTTATCAGGAGAAGGATACCTTAGCTTTCTAGCCAATAACCTACCAGAACTTTTGGAACAGACCTAAGACAACATGCCATTACAACGGAGACAGAATTTGTGGTATCTTCATGACGAGGCACCACCACACATTTTTAGAGGCGTCATTCAGTATTTGAATGAACATTATCCAAATCGCTGGATCGGTCGAAATGCTCCTGATCCTCGAAAATGGCCAGCGAGATCTCCTGACCTCAATCCGATGGATTTCTGGTATTGGGGAGAACTTAAAGGGATGGTTTATAGGGCTGGTCCAATAACAACTGAAGCACAACTTCGTGAAAAAAGAATTAATGCGACAGAAGAAATAATAAATGGACAACTTCGAGGACCTAGAGTAAGAAGAAACTGGGTTCGTGTGGAAAGTGGAGGACGACATTTCGAACACTTTCTTTAAATACAAAAAAGTGCAGTGTGGGTTTTAAAAAGAAAAACAATGTATGTATCAAAATTGTGTTCCCTATTTATAAGTGGATTTTTTTAATACGTTCAATAAATTTTCACAAATGCGTTGCGTCGTAATTTGCGTCTGGCATTGCGGCGTTGTCAGATTTTATTTTACTTTAAATTCGCTTTTCTCTAAAAAATGCCGTTTTGACCCCCATGTTATATGAAACTTTTTGCTTCTTTTAACGCCCTCTATCACCCATTTAAATAATTACTGTCATAACGTTTACATCCTGTATTTTGTCTATCAGTGTCTGCAGACATTTTGTTCGATATTGTCGTTCACAGCATCCATGACTGTGTCATCTGCATAACGGAAGTTACTTATAATGTCACTCAGAAGTATGTACATTGAAAAACTTATTTTGTAATAATAGTTGGTCCACCACTGAAAAAGTAGTGTCAAATGTCAAATACTACAAAATTTCAGTTAATTTTGATACTCAGTTTCCAATTTATAAGGTAAATTATGAGGAAAAATGAGTAATTTGAAATTAGAGTATCGCAGTCTCATAAAATTTCTGACAAAAGAGGGTTATCATCCGAAAACAATTCTTGAGAGAACGATTGGCTGCTATGGGGATGATGCATCATATTACACAGTAAAATTTGATGGGGGCGATCGCAGAAATAGAAGATTCAAAACAGCAACAAATGATGAAATTACGCTGAAAGTTAAAGCCATGGTTCTCGAAGATAGTCATGTGATGGCGTTGAATATATCTGAACATCTTCCACGGCGATTTGAACATGAGTAACCGGCCAGCCAGATGGATTTCACTTCTGTTAACACCTGAACAAAAGTTGCGCAGACGTAAGCCAGGTTGGTCGCAACCAACTGCAGAAAAATGTATGGCAACAGTTTTTTGGGACATCAGAGGCATCATTTTCATTGAATATACGCCAAAAGGGACAACAATGAATGAGGACGTCTATGCGAACACGCTCAAACATTTACGTAAAGCAATCAATCATCCAAAAATGCTCGATTTTTTCAATCGCGAAGTGTGTCTGCTGCATGGCAATGCGACCATGCACAAGGCTGCCAAAAATTAGACCAATTGTGCACGTATTTTGTTTCATAGCTAGGACTTCTTTTCTAGTACCCCTTGTATGTCCTGTGGGAAACCAATATTATAAATGGGACAACCTTGCGACCTGACCTACTCCCAACTGACAAGTCGTGTACCAGCACGGGGATGATATCGATTATATAGCTATACCCAGGATGCAGTGTAGCGTAGACTAAGTTAAATTGTTGAGCTGAAACGAAACGATAACGTTCAGAGTTTCGGAGTTGGAAGTACATATACAGTGCAGTATACATAGGGAATGCTTGGAGTGTTGGATAGGAATTTGCTCGAATACTGATGAGCCATGATATTAGACAATAGCTT